ACTGCACTTTGCTTGCAATGCTTACAATATTGATTGACGAAATGTTATGAAATATATATGTATTTTGTTGGGCCAAAACTGGGAAGCGACAGCAGCACGTGCCATTAACTTCGCCCCCTGCCGGTCATGTCGCCATACGAACTTTGAACATCAGCATCTAACATCAGCAACAATTAATGCGGATGCTGATGCTGATGCTGATGTGTACAATAATGCTGATATTCCGCTGATGCTGATGCTGATGCTGATATTTGCAACAACCCTGGTAGGTACTATACATTTAATAAGCGATTTGGTAATTAACCTTTCGTGTGTCTAAACGTGGATCCACGCGAGATACAATGTATTTTCTATTGTGTCTCATAAAGGTGTATTCAAGCGGTTAACTCGTAGTTAGATCAATAGTTTAAAATTACTTTTTAATCGATTTTTTTTTCTTTGTTGTTTATAGGTAAACGACCAGACGGATCACCTGATAGTAAGCAATCGGCGTCGCCCATGAAAACCCGGAACACCAGAGGCGTTACAACTTCGTTACCGGCCTTTTGAGGATTAGGAATTTGGAATTTTGAAAAATTAGGATTGTTGGGGAGATGGAGAGGGCGGGGTAATTGGGGCTCCGACAACGTCACTCACACGTACGACGCAACACAACGCAAGCTTTGTTTCACGCCGGTTTTCTGTGAGGCAGCGGTATCATTCCGGTCGAGACGGCCCATTCATGCCGAAGCATAGCTCTCCCACACTTCAACTAGTTACCTCTTTTGACGATATTCCTAGCCTAATTTAGGTGACCAGGCTGAGACGGGTCTACGAACATGGATTGCATACAGAAAATAATTCTAGATAGTACGTCTACATTATAGAGCTGTGAGCAGGTGGTAGCCAGGTAATATCTGACAGTTCAAAATGTGCTGGCCAAATCGTGTCTCATATTTTAAGACTCCTCATTACGTCATGTAATGACATTCTTAGTGAGTACAAATGTAGTAAATATGGCACTTGGTATTATAGTATTTAGGTTAAATTAGTTACTAATAGAATAATTTTAGATGATATTTAAGTACTATATTGAACATTTGTATTGTCAAATTATTACCAATTGATATTACTGTTAATATAGGAATGAAATAAAAGGCTTATTTCTTAACTTATGTGCATTTAGAATATCTAGATCGCATCACTATCACGCCTTTGATTCCCGAAGAGGTAGCTAACTAGCTACTAGGTAGCTAAATAGCTAGCTAGGGGTGTACACTACGGCACTTAATACCACTTACAATGTAACACTCACTTTTTACCCCATGTATTAGGAGGTCAGCCCATTGCCATATACCAGGCACAATTCCAGAGTCCATGCTATGACTGAGATTTTTTTTTAAATACCAGGTATTACCCGACCAGGGAATCTACCGCTTGCCCGGCAGTCGCACTTGTGATCATTCTGCCAACGAGGCAGTCTGTGTCTAGAACGTACTATCATAAATGAATAACGTAACTTTGCATGTTTGTACAAAGGTAGGTATTGTATTTTTATATTCTGACTTTTTATCATACTGATGATTTAATATTTGGCAAATAATATTTGCACAAAAATAAGTTGATCACATCAAGACGGTTGAAGACGCAACGTCGGTTAAGGAACCATAGTTCCAGGTCATTGCACTTAATGTGGTATGGCGTGCAAATCGTACAATAGACAATATAAACATACGAGGAGGGGACATTGCGGTGCTTACATCTGCTTACCATTTTAAGTTCGTTCGCCTCTAAACCATTCACTTTATAACGAAGTTATGTTATTACACGTATTAGTAAGTCATTCAATAGGATTAAGAATACTGAATAAGGTATAAGAAAGAAATCTTTGAATTACGTATGTCAGTAATAGGTAGATAGGTAGGTACATAAATCTACATCAGCTAAACATTTTTTAATCTCACGAATAATTCTAGATCTCTATAAATAAAAATGAATTTCTATTCGTTAGCTTCGCTAAAACTGGAGACCGGCTGAAGCGATTTGGCTAATTTTGGTCTTGAAATCCAGGAAAGGGTTAAACGGTTTTTCAACATTAGAAAATTTCACTTTTTCTCGTGGACGAAGTCGCAGGCAGAAGCTGATTGTTGGTTCTTGATAAAGATAATATTTTTTCAAGTCAAGTTATTGAACCTAATTAGGTAGGTTAGGTTACTGTCTACGTAGGTAGACTAAAGTACAAATCGATGATCGAACCGAATCGTCACCGTACCGTCAATTTGGTTCAGCGGTCCGGTGGTATCCATTGAAAATGTGTGACAGACCGCCTTACACACTATTGAATATGGTCCGCAGCGGGCAAAAGTGACGGTTCGGTTCGGTCGTCTATGTATTTGTGCTTTTATTTGAGTACCTACCTACCCAATATTACCTACACCGTACCAGATTTTGTCGCAAATTATTTTTACGTAGGTAAGTAAGGTAAACTTAGTAATAAAAAATATTATATAAATAAGTACAGGGAAATATTGTAAACACAGTTGTTTACATTATCACCCATTCCTTACTTACTTATATAAATAATTCCATAATGAAGTAAGTGCCTAAGCCTATAACTAGATTACCATTATTAAAAAATTGAAATTCCTACTGCATAATGCATCTATATATATAAAAGTAACATTAATATTATTTTTCATCTTTCAAGCAATTAATAAATAATTATGCGAATTACTACTATTATCGAAGTACCTACCTACTTGATTAAACACTGTATACTTCTACTATCGATTGAACCAGTCTTTTGAAAATAGCTAAGCAAAGTACACACATGCGCCAACAAATAAATTACAGATGATTGAAAGTCGGCGCAGGGGGGATCCACGGAACGCGACCGAGTCACGCTGGCCGCTGTGGGCTGTCGCAACGAGACGACTCCGTGGTGGTATTAGGCGGCAGGCCAAATACCAAAATAGCAAACCACTCGCTCTGCTACAAAAATCTAAATGCACCTAGCGACCTTTTAGTCTGTATTCACTAAAATATTAAGAATAAAATATAAACGCTCACCAAATCTTTATGTAGTTCCTTCGAAATGAATGGAGTTAGCTTGGTTATTCCCACGAATATAAAAAACACCCCTAAAAGGATGGATAGACTTCTCAACACGATAGAACCCATTTTCTAAGAATCACCTCTGTAATATTGAACACTAATTTATACCACTAACATTATAACATTTATTGTTGTATTATATTTGTTCTTGCACTTAAATAACTTGCATTTTAAACATAATAAGGAGAGGTTATTTGTTGATGATTTTATGGATTCAAGTTACAGCACTATTTCATCGTAAAAATTAAAATACAGGGGAAGTTGGAAGCAAGCAAACACGTTTCGCGCCGGCGCGAAAAAATCCATACCAAATTGTCAGAGTTGCCATTACGAAAAAAATAAAACATCACGTATAATTTTTCATAAAAATGTTATGAAAGCAAACCCAACAGATTTTTATATCTAATACAATTCTAGAAAATAGATACTCGTGATTATCATAAAACATAATGTGGAAAGCATATTGTTCTATTAAATAAAACGCCATCTCTTGTATTTTGATGACAACATTCCGACTAGTAAGCTTATCTCTGCTAGAAGCAGGGGCATTGCTAGCGCCGTATCCATTTAAATAATAATATGTATATACTCTTTGGCCGTATCTGTTTGCCATATCAATAATATACCCCGTAAATTGCGTAAGCGTAAATAAAAACTTACCAATTATTATTATTTTATTTCAGTACATAATCACACAGTTAAAATCAACGATTTTTTTACCCACGTATAAGGCTGGCAGAAACTTTAGGAAAACTAAATTAATCATAGTTTATTTGAGCAGAAGGCGTTGCGTTTCTGCTTTCCACACAAATTATATTATTATTTTATGTAAAAAAAATATTACAGTGGGAATACCCTTGAGTCCCTAACAAATAAATAGTCCCCGACAAGCACGCTACGCCCTTGGCTAGAAGTCGAGTTATTATAAAGATGAATAGTATTTTGAATGTTTGTTTGTTTGAACGCGCTACTCTTCGTAACTACAGGTTCAAATGGAATAAATATTTTCGTGTTGGATAGACCACTTATCGAATTAGGCTGTAAGGTAAAAAATCACGCTACAATCAAGAGGAACCGAGCAGCAGGTGAAACTGCGCGGAGTAACTAATACTTATATATTAGTTCCTGGTCCTATTTTCTAGTTTGGGTCTTTCTTTACCAACTAAACACTACGCCTTTTATTTTCCGAAGGGGTAAGCAGAAGGTCTTTTCAGGTTCAAAATTTATTTAACTTATTACCTATTGCATATTATACTTCTAATTCTTGAGCAAACATTATGAGTAATGGACCATCCTTCTCCGCGCAAGAGCCTTTGCTCAGCAGAGGGCACATATATGTTGTATATATAGGCTGATGTGGTGTAGGTAAACATAAGACATTTGTGAATTATTTAAAATTTTGAGTGATAATGGGTGTGATTTCTAAATAGTTCAATCATGAATAGAAACAATGATTTAAAATAAAACTATATTTTCCACTTTAGGTGTTTCTGCTTCTAAATACAATTTATAAGTCTCATTAAACTGAGGTGCTCCACATATAAGTACTTGATCATTATTTGTGAAAGGTTTTAGAGGCAATAAATTATTTGAGCTAAACCTATGGCTGTTTATTGGTTCTTGATATCTATATTTTAAAGGTACACTTGCATTGCTTACAAAAATTTCATACTTAAAATTCCAATATGACTTATAATAATAAAGTTCTTCTCGAAAAAGTATTGAATTTTCACTTTGGCAGCAATATAATAGAATCACTTTAGTTAAATCGTCTTCATTATTTAAAATAGTTTCAATCATTGAAATAAATGGAGCTATACCAGTCCCTTGCGCAATCATAATAATTCTTTCAAATTTATTGCATTCCAAATTGTAATGCCCATATGGGCCCCTCCAAAAAGTTATGCTTCCTTCATTTAAATTGCATAGGTGACTTGAAACCAAACCAAGTTCATAATTTTTGACAATAATTGAAAAATCACTTATTAAACTTTGATCATTCCGTACTTTTAAGGGAGTATAAGCTCTTGTGCAAGAGTTTTTATCTGTATTGTATTTATAGAGGAAATGATCACCAGGTTTCCAAGAAACTTTCATATTATCGTCAGATTTTTTTTTGAAAAATAAACGATGATGTAAGTGGCACTCAGGTAAGTTCTTTACCAAGACAAATCCTGTGTACTTCAACTGTGATATAGCATTATTTTGAGGTATAGTATTTATAATTTCCTTATTTAGTAAATACTTTTCGTACAGTTTTAACTGCTCGTCATAAATGTCAAATATGCAAGGATTACAGCCACTGTTGCAACAGTCTTCAGAGTTTGGTTCGTTTGGTTTCTCCATCCTAATTTTTGTAGTCACAATATTATTTTGTTCACTATCTACAACTAAACATAGCTTACAGCGAATATGTTATTAGCTTCGCTCCAGTTTCCTTCGTCATAAAACAGTTTTAACTTATCCAATATCAAGCGAGTCAAGAATTGTTATTCAAGTAGCTTGTAGAACAGGTAGGCAAAACTACAAGAATAAGTTAATCACAAAATATTTAAATATAAATGAGGGTATGAACTCATAGTTCCAGAGCTCATCATGACACAACAAACAATTAATTCATGATGACATTCCATTTTTTACTCATATTCAATCACAATGACATTGACAACTAATGTGATGTGACATGTGACACCTATGACAATAAATAAAATAGAAAATGTCAATGTCACAAACATTTAACTACGTTCCGTTACACGATTCCAAATTAAGGAGCCAAAGTATTTTTTTTTTACAATAATTAAAAAATGTCCCTAACTACGTAGCAAATATGGAAGTACCATGTTTTCCATTCAAAACGTGTCAAAATAATTATCTATAGATTTAGGAATCAGCAGCAACTAAATTAGTCGTTGTGAAATATTATAGGAGCTAAACATTACCATCTGCTTTGGGTTGGGGTCTCGTGGAAAATTTTACAACGTAGGCATTTTAAAAAACCATGCAAAATCCAACATAATCCAAATTTCAACAACGCCTAATTCGTGGCACCCGGTAAAGCTATAATAAATGTCATGAAAATATGTACATATCCCATAAAAATTATGACATTATAATAATGAATAAAAAGGTATCTAACTGTTAACTGAATTTATTAATTCTATATTTAAATAAACGGTGCAGGAGTAATAGCTACTTCTGCGCCGTTTCACCCGCTGCTTGTGATCTTTTATGGTATTCCTCGATAAATAGACTAACCAAAACAAAATCAATTTATTAAATCAGTCGTCTTATAGCATTGTAAAATAATAGGAATAATAGTTGCTGTTGATAATAGGTAATTAATAAATAAAATGTTTTTGTTTATCACCTAGTCTCCTCCTGTCTCCTATTTTAACTATCCTTAGACTATTTATTGGCGAAGAACACGGCAAAGTTCCCCATTAAAAGTTTATTTTTGTCTGGCATTTCTTGTTTGTTTATTGATAGCTTCCTGTTGGCGGGAACTTTAAGCTTGACAATTAAATTTCATTTTTACATTAAATATTTGATGTTTTTTTCTTTATAGTTTGCTATGGTGATATTATATTTCCATTTCGTTCAAGTTTGTGTCGTGAGTAATTTAAGTTTATAACATTTGTTTTCGTATTTTAACAAAACAGACTCGAGCGCCCTCTGCACCGACGCCAGATAAACACCGGTCGCTCGCCCGCCATAAATTTCTCTTTGACCCATTGCGATATCGTTGGCTTGGCTGTAAACAATTATGTGAGTATTTTTATTGAGAAATTGTTGCAAAAATATTTTTTTTATTATTCTGATGTATTCTAAATTTTGAGCTTCAAAAATATTTATATAATTCGTATACTGTCCCTTTGAAAATGCTGTATTTCTTTCGTGTTTCGTTAATGTAAGCAGACTCCATTATTAAAGTCGCTTGGCGTTCTTGAATTTACTCTGTTGCTTGGATTACTGAATATAATATCTTGAAAGCTGTTTACTTTAGCCGAATTTGGATCATTGTTATCGGTAATATATTCTGAATAGTCATATCTTTACGAATATTCATTCCTATTTAGTGAAACTGAATAAATAATTAATTAATCCGGACATTAATTAAGTAGGTACAGCTATCTAAATAATCTAAATGATTTCAATGTCTAATTAGAAACATTTAACTGATTCCAGTTTACACGAATTGCCTATATACGCAGTAGCGTCATACTAATAATAATGGAGTATGAAGGAGCTCAAATTTTAAGTGACTATGTATTTATTTATATTTTTTTTAAACGATTTTGTTCCAGATTTCGATCTCCGCAGTTGATTTATAGTAGCTGAAAATGTCTGATGACGGATCGACGGCTGTGGAGAAGAAAGGACGCGGTAGAGCTAAAGCTAATGGAACACAATCAGTCAGTATTAATTTTGAATACGAATTTTCTGCTTTCTGACTGCACATTTCCAATATTTTATTCAATTTGTTTTACTCTTAGGAGGCTAAGGGTGATACCAAGAAAAGGGGGAGACCCCCAGCAGCAACCAGGACTAAGGAATCTACAAAATCCTCAGATGATGAGCAAGCTCCAGTAGCGAAAAGAGGTCGAGGTAGGCCTAAGGGCTCCAAGAAAAAGGCAGCAGCTAAAGGCAAGGTATTACAAATGTTATTTTATTTTATTAAAGTTGTAAGAGAAAGATACTGTGATATGTAACATATATTTTTGTGTTTTGGCTAGAGTGCACCAGTTGAAGGAAGGGGCCGTGGACGACCACGTAAGGATCCCGTAAAAGATGCTGCTTCCACTGATGAGGAACAGGATGAAGATTATGAAGATGAGGGCTCTGAGGAGCAGTAAAATGTGTTTTGTTTTCTGACATTACACTCACTCTTAGTGTAATTTGTTTGTCACGATAACTCTTTTTGTGTACTATTGCAATTCACTCATTTCTTTGTAGATCTTTACATTGCATTTATTTGTATAACTCTTTTGGACAAGCACTTGGGGTTATCATGACAGTACAAAATTCTCATCTGAGATTGTCTACCCAAATTTGAATCATGTGAGAACTTGTATTAATTTTGGACGCTTAGACTTTTGTGTGATTATGATGCATTTATGTGGAATATTTAGCAAGTAAAATAAAAAAATCTCACTTGAATAAATTTGGGATGACTTGGCTCTCCCTAGAAACGTACAACTTTTAAGATTTAATTTGTAAGATCCTTTTTTGTAGAGTTTATTCAAATAGGTATTTTATTTTGTAATCTCTTGATTTATAATTCATACAATTTTGTAGATCTATTTGTTGACTTTAAAGTCAAGTATTATTTTATATAATAATAAATAAATATTATGTTTACTTTTCAATTTAATCTTATTTTCCCTTTAATGTATTTAATATATTATAGATACACTAGTGTTTTGTGAACAGTGTTAGTAATATCGTTAAGTGTTTTTGATTGATAAATCACTTGGTATGTTGCAATTCCACAAAATATAGTATCATGTAGTGGTATGGGTAGTGCCATTTGTATCAATTTCTTTTTGTATTTTGGCTGACTGATCTTTTTTTATTGACATTTATTGTGTGTATGTGCGTGAATGTACAAGTTTAGAACAAAATTAAATAAATCTATGAAATCCATGCTGACTTTTCTGTGAACTGAGATTTATGGGATTATTCATATCCTACATGTATTTCAGTGATTCATTCGTTACAAATAAATGTAAATAATACTAATATTATAAGCGATTGACATAAAACGTAAATCATAATTAGTTTTCGCGTTATCAATAATTAGAAGTACTGGTTATATGGTTCTAAATCGAAACATGCTCTTATTGAATTCTTAATTTCTTCATGACATTAGGCAGGTACAACAATGTACTGAGTAGATGGGTGATTTCTGTATGTAACTGATATTGATTGCTGCAAACTGTTTACGAACTCGTGTAGGGCCAGTTGGCAAAAAATATATAGGTACATGCCAAGGCAAAAATTATATTGTGCCATTTAAGTTGTTCACTATTTCTGCCTAACCAACTACAAATGGAAGACTAGTGACTATTCTGTAAATGTTGATATCACTCAGTCTAGATACCTAGTCATTCACAGAAAATCTGGACTTTTTTTTCATATTACCGGTTTGTAATACCTATTTATGGGGTGAGCATATTGCCGAACCTGAGACTATCTAGGTAGGTACTTGTAGCAGTCGCACTTGTGGCGAGGTGGTAACTCAACTAACGAAAATATATTGTATACCTAGTTGCATTGTTTGCCTACGCGACAGGACTAGATGACTTGTTAAGACTTTTATAATAGGCCAATAAGTATAGGGGTAAGGTCTTTTTATGGGGGGAAAATCATCGAATGACAGATCCCGCCTGGATGAGGCGGGAGGGAGTGTCAGACTCTTACTGCCAAAAAAAACCACCCCGTTCCTTCTCCTGCACGTCGAGCCGGAGCCCCGGTTACCCGTTAGGTTCTCCGCGACTCCGAATCGGCATCGGCCCTATTAGGCCCCATCTTTGGTGGTCTGATGGAGGGGTAAGGTCTACTTATGAAATTGTCGTTCTGAAGTACTGGCCATTTCAAATCAAAATATCTTTTGTTTGGTTAAGAATTCTGATTTAAAATAAATTTCATTTTAAAAACATGGATTTGATTAGTGTTACATTTTCATCGCATTTCAATCTGTTTACTTAGTGTTTGTCACACTGATATGATAAGAGTATGGATAAGAAACAACTAGGAAAAAATCGTGCCTACATAAACTTCACTTGGTCACCTGTAATGGCGGATAGAACTAGGGATGTAACTTTTAAAACTGTAGAAATATCGATATTTTAGTATCGGTTTTAATTGACTTATCAATAAAATATCATTATTTTATGATTCATCTGGATTTTATTTTTATTTAGCTGCTAAACATTACCAACATATTAGCGAAATATATTTAGTAGTTGCTGCGTGCACTGTCACTCCAGTCGATCGTGCCTATACATTCACATCATAACTTTCACGATACTTCTGTATCTAAATTCATGAAAAGGATTTTCCATCAACTGGTCAATATTTATATACTTAAGGTTAAGTAATTTTTGAGGGTTGAAAAATAAAACTGTATCAAAGTATTCATAAAATCAAGATTTATAATATACAATATCTTCGTATTTTTCGAAGTGTTTCCCTGTAATGTAATTTGCAAAACCATCTTTCGAGAAGACTCCAGAACTGGTTCCAAGTTCATTTTCATGCACATATCTGGCTAGAGGCTGCAACACAAATAGTATAATTTAACTTACTTGATCCAATTGAACATAGATTTTTCTATAGATTCTATAGATACTGTACCTACTGTTTTTTCAAATTAATGCACTTTATCATTCAGAATTTAGTATAGTTCTTTGTTCTACTTTTGACGCATTTATTATGTACGATAAAATTATCGATACGGGAACAATCATGTACCTACATCACTATTTTTTAATGAAAATAGTTTTAGACGTATTTCAACTAAAATTAATGAAAATAAGCACTGCATTAGTTAGAAAAGTATTGTATTTAGTCAATATGCAGCAACCACACTTGAATAGTTTGAAAAACAGAGATATTTTAATGAAAAATAACAGTACTTACCGATGTAATGTTACACCTGCCGGTTTAGTAATATTTTTAGTGCTACATCCAATAACACTGCACCCGGGCATAGTTCTTCTCACTAACCAATAATTTCTTTGTTTACCACGCACAAAAACAACAGGAATTCTACAAATATTCGTAACAAAATATTGTTGACCAATGCTTTGACAGCTGATGTACCACTGACATGCACTGATAACAGGGACTAAGATGGCCAATTCGGCACAACTAGGTTTTTCTGATGACGTCAGAAAATTATGGCCAGAATGACAATAATGTGTTGTCTCTTTCTGCAAAAGCAAAGAGACATACCTAAGTAAAAAAGAAACAACAGTATGTTTATGAATTTACCGTCAAGATGGATCCTAAATTCTACCCGTAGACAATAGCCAGACATCTATGTTATATTTATAAATCTATGGTTTGTCATCATGGATACAATAAAAAGATGATACACTATCTACGGCTGAATTAGCAGTAGCTTTTGACGTTACCGTCAAAACAATATTGGTCCATTTGTGTCAAATTGGCAAGTCCCACTAACTCAATTATCGCCAGTGCGAAGTACACATCGAGACTTGAGACGTGCCTTGCTCTACTCAACAGGCACACAAATGAAGAAATTAGGTACCTACTACTCACCAGACGGCGCCTACAGACTACGTACCTACTAGTTTTTCCAGAATTTGTATAACTTCTTGGCGGGAAAATAATTAAATAAGTACCCGAGGGGCAGTACAAAATGCCTTTGAAGAATTTGTGGCCTCCCGTCCAGCTGATATTTTTAGAAGGGCATCAATAAACTGCCACTTCGTTTACAAAGATGCATTGCATGGGTGATTACTTCGATTATTTAATACAAATATAAAAAGTCTTTTCAACTTTTTCACTCAAAGCGGCAATTTCATAGGTAAAGACCTATTATGTAGGTATGTAAGATTTTGGCCGCTGTCTCGCCTGGTGGCAAGCGATAATGCGGCCTACTATAGAGCACGCCTGCCTGAAACATAAACGCTGACAAACAATTTTATTCCGTAGCAGTTCGAAAAAGGAAATTCTACGCGAAATTCCGTGTAAGTGGGCGGGATATCCTGATGGAGGTATTGGTGCTTTACCAATTATTGTATTTATATATTCTGTCCCGCAACCCCGATACGGCTTATGAAAGCAGTATTTTTTTTTAAGGGGGAAAAGCATCGAATGGCTGCTCCCGCCTGGGTGAGGCGAGAGGGAGTGTCAGACTCTTACTGACTAAAAACCACCCCGTTCCTTCTCCTGCACGACGAGCTGGAGCGCCGGTAACCCGAACCCGTTAGGTTCTCCGTGACTCCATGAAAGCAGTATAGGATGATAATCCCTGTAAAATCGTCTATGGTCAACCTATCACCTGTCCTATTCATAAACCTACTTGTTGGTCAAGTGCTGTCATTGTTTTAGATTCGCGATTCTATAGTACAATAAAACTGTGTTTTTAGCCTATGTTGAAATATACTTAAAATATTATGACAAGTTAAATTACGTTTGTAAAAAGTTTTAAATAAATTGGATTGAAACGTGTGTACTAATCCTAAAATCCCCAGATAAAAAATCTATTTACTATCTATGGTTTATGAGCAGTATTTTTTTTCTGTGTTGTGGAGACCGAGAGAGAGACGGTTGCTGACTGTCAGCGTCATTCATGTAAATGGTGAACTTACGTACGTTGAAAAATCATTTTTGGATAATTTTCAAAGTTTGAATCACATAATGTGTTCGAAAATATAAATTAGAGGTTTCTATTTGATGTTACAGTGTGATTTTAGTACATAACTACAGTTTTGAATACTTTAACGAACTTAGTGTGTTCTATTACTATGTTATCCGTGTCGCGCAGTACATCAAAAAGTTGTTGACTAATTTCAAAGTTCTAAAAAGTGATTGTTGTAGTGTATTATAGATGTTTATCACTTTGTTGTTATATGTGGCTGCTGTAGATTTGAAGAATAAACTTTATAACAGGTAAGCAAAGCAAAAATTTTCATTTAAAAGTTTAAGACGGCTTTAAGCGGAATGTCGTGATACAGGTAGGTTAATCACGTAACGTTATCTGTATGATTACATTACACATCATAATAATGATCTGAAGTTCTGAACCTAGATGAATAAACTTTAATTCCTATTTGTCATGTTTTTAATTTGTTTTATGTTTTAGTAGGTAAATCTGTAATATTTAAGTATAATAAAATTTTGTATATTAATTTAAAAGTTCTAATACTGTATAAAACAATACAAAAATATGAGAAAATGCAATAAAAATAGGTTTAACATTCCACATAAATTATTCCATCCCTAAGGATACCCACTGACTAACTTATTGGTAGTAAATTTAAAAAAAATAATTAGTTATTATGACAAAAACTAGTGGATGTTCACTAAACACTTGATTTATGAATAAATAGTATTGCCACTGCTATCTCTATCTGATATCTCTAATTCTGATTTATTATGTAAAGAAATGAAATACAAACTGTAATAATTGTTATCGAAAATAATTGAGTAAAAGCAACAATATTAAATAAAATTAATGAATTCTGCAACTTGGCTGCATCTTCATTTACTGTTTCATTTGTCATTTAAACAGACCATGGTCAGTGAGAGAAGTAGTTAGTTAGTTTTAGTGTAAATCAGAATATTTTGGTAGTGGTAAAAAGAATTGGTCTGACTGATAGTATCATGCAGTCAAAATCACTTAATCTATTGTCATTTATTAAAAACAAGTACTTCATAAAATGTGTATCTGTTATTTATTGCATTTAGTTCTCCATTCTGAATTGTATTTATTTTCATACCAAGCCAAGGGGGTAACTTTCTAACAAATGAATTGTTATCACAAATACGAATTATAAGCATAATATCTAAAGTAGCTGTAAATGTTTTGAACTTTTGTTATGTAAAAAGAAAATAAAATCATTGTTATCAAAGGATTCTAATAGTAAATAGGTGGGTATCCACATACCAAGAAGGCTTGACATGTTTTGTATGCATACTATACTAAGTACTACACATAAAATGTGAAATATTTTAACAAATAAATATCACCTCAAGGTGTTGAAATGTTAATACTAGCTACTTCTGTGCTGTTTCACCCACTCTGCTCTGTGCCTTTTGATTGTAGCCTCATTTTTTATAGCCATCCTTGATAAAAGAACTTGTAATAAGAGTATAAGATTAGAAACCTTTCATTTATTCAATAATACAGGGTGTAAGAAGAATGATTCCATAAAAACATAGACAGGTGATGGTAAAAACTTCTTTCTTTCTTTTTAAAAAACATTGCCCTGCACTAGGATTTTCTCTTGTGTTGTGGGTGCGCTTACAAACATACAAATTCACATACACATACAAATCGAACCCACGACACGCAGCACGGCAGCCGGTTGCCCAGCCACCGTACCAACCATGGAGTCAAGTTAGTCAGGTAAAAACGAATGAAATGTTTCTTTCATATTATAATAGTTGTAATGCTGCAACTGCAAGGCTTATGTTGCATGAAAAACAATTAAAATTGTGAAAACATAATTTAATCATTTTGTTTGCATTTTGGGAGTGTTCCATTTATATGTAAATAGTGGTATAAATATAATACTTAACCCGTTGAGTACCGTCATTATAGACACAATTAAAGAACAATAGGTTGCGGTCACCAGTGTCCACTTGGTGTTTGACAGTTTAATAGTACACCAGTTTCTGCCCGCGACTTCGTACGCGCAATCCCGTTTATTGCCGTTCCCGTTTGTGATTTTCGATAAAGAGTAAAAGAAAAAAGTATTGGATAAAAAGTATTCTATATCTGTCTCCCCACCAAATTTCATCCAAATCGATTAAGCCGTTCTTGAGTTATAAATAGTGTAACTAACGCGACTTTCTTTTATATATAGATCTAACTATGGATTTATCCATAGAAAGATCTTCTCTAGGAAAAAGATAAAAATAAATGCCTTAAACTGTCAAACACCACGAGGACACCGGTGACCGCAACCTATTGTTCTTTAATGGTGTCTATAATGTAGTTTCATGCAATTGAAATTAAAATTACTTTGAAAAATTAGGATTGCAGGATTGCACACATTTATTTTGTTTTTCTGAAATGTCTTAGTGATAGCAAAGAGTCTGGCAATGTGTCCAGTATGTGCCAATGGCACTTGTGCCATGTACTGGATAGTGGATATAGTGCATCTTTACCAAGGTAGTAAATACCTATCAGGGATTCAAAATCGTGATGTTATCTATTTATTTATTTAATGTTTTTTGGAAATTTATTTTATTGGTGAATTCAAACTCGGGTCAGTTACGAAAACGCAACGTTTTCGCAGACTGGATTTGACGGCCTAATAACACGGTTATATTTACAGTTTAAATTATACTTACCCAGTACCTAATGAGTAAAGTTACCTTCAAGGAAGTTATACGGCTACTAACGAATAAAGAAATAGCCTATTATATTATTACCTGTACATTATGCGGTAAGTAAGCCTTGCATCGATCCATATAACATCACGCCTTTTATCCTCGAAGCGGTAGGCAGTAGTTAGTGCAAATTACGGCACTTAATGCCACTGTAGAATACGAACATCCACTTTTCATTATTTATGTGTCCCTTGTAATAGGGGTTTTTGCATATACTAACTAGTCTAACTACGTTGAAATTTTGAATTTTACCATCATTATTATACGATTATACAATTATTTCCCATGGAATGACGGTTTCTGTTGAACAATCGTGACACGTGTCGTGCTTTGTACGCAGGCATATGTCGCATTTACCATACTCCAGCACGAGCGTAGAGTTGGACCTATTGAATATAATACTTTGCATACGAGACTTCCATTCTAATTAGCTTTGTATGGGTTTAAGCGGTCGATGTGTACTTGTTTATGACATAACCTTCTTAGATTATTTTAAATCGTAATAAGTACCTGTCACTTCGATATAATACAATACATACAGACCCATTTAAAAAGAATTGCTTACATTTTTAACAGCAATCAATCTCCATACTTGATGAGGCATTTACACTGGTCTGTTTTCGCCGTGCGACTAGGTGCTTCCCAACACAAATCACACCAACAAGGGGCTTCACTTACCTATTTCCACGACTTGGTCCTTTCATATCCTCAGGGTTTATACGGCTTTTTTAGCTGAAATCAACCATCTAAATGGCAGATCGACTAGGTGACTACGATTAAAATTAAATAACGAATTTCTAAAATCTTTGATTGATCGATTTTTCACATTAATTGTACAGACTTTCTGTCCGAGTTATTAATTTCGGCCGTAAAGCCTTATAGTCAGGTAGGATCTGAGGCGGATTAAAACTAGGGGGCGCCCTACCCTAGGTAAGCATCTCATCGGCGCCACTAACGTTTTTTTAGCGCCGCGGCGCCGTCACTGGGTTGCGCGCCTCGCGGTGTTGCAGCGCCCCTTTGTTAACTGGCGTCCTAGACACTTGTCTTGGTTGTCTTAGGGATAATATGGCTCATCATAGGCTATCCTATTTGTGGCCAAAGTCGGATATACTGCTATTAGTTTATCCCCAACTTTGGCCACAACATTTTTTGCTGATGAATAAAACTCGCTTGTCACGTGTGAGAGTGATTCGAGAGAAAGAAAATATCGAGCAACAGGCGATTTGAGTCAATCGTGTTAATAGGCAAAGGAGGCTTGTTCAGGCGAATTGTGATGTGACTAACCGCACGGCGAAAATCAACCCATGTAAAGCCTTTATTAAATCTTAAAATCAAGTTACATATTAGCCAGTCCAAAATATCGTGTGTCTATTGACAGGAGAGGGATTTGATAACGGATATTATAAATATTTATAATGAAATCCTGATGTCGTTTAACTAGTCCTTCTAGGTACTTATCAGTTTTATGAAGAATAGATGAACCATTTTGTACCACCCGGTCGTTGCCTCAATGAGTCATTGATGCACGCGGTGAGTAGCTCCGTGTTCAATAGGTACAATCATTCCAAACGAATTCAGGTACCAACCTGATTATCTCTGCTCTTTACTTGGTATTACATCAACGATATCATATCTTAAATTACTTTACATAACATTCCTTTTGACCCTATTGTGAACTTGAAAATATCTTAGAAACTATTGAAATACCTTATATACCTACATACAAGCATTTTTAGAATCACTTTGTCATTCCATATAGCGGTGAGTCAACGTCTTACAATCACAAAAAAGATATCAGAGGCAATTCACTTAAACCCTGAAAAGATTGTACTACAATAAGCTAATCCATAAAAAACGCAAACTGAAATTAAGCACCCATTCAAACTTGAAAGACTACTTAAAAATTATGGATTGTTTTCAGATTCTTTGACTGTTCAAGAGCTGGTGCTCTTGGCACCGCCAAAGTATGATTGGCTTGGATTTTTGCAGAATTTTTTGTCGATAAATAGGATAGGATTCGGCGGTACGAATCCAGAAATCTCACCTGAAGGACAGTTAATGTAGACTGAAATATATTTTATGTTCATTCTTGGACAGTTTTCAGTTAATTATTTGATTAATATTCTTAACAAAACTTCGAGCTTCAGTATTGCTAGTGTAGGAGCTGATTTTCCGTTATTTTTATTTGCACAATGGCTCGTAATTTATGAGTAGTCGTTATGTCGGTGTAATATTGTGACTGTCACGCTATTATTTTGGTTTCGCTCCACAATTGTAGCAATTGATATCATAACTGTGCTGATGGATAGATGACCTCGTTGCACTTGTATCGTTTTGTAGACTGAAACAAAATTTTTAAACTGTTCTTCTTTTGTTGCAGATAGCATGACGTAGATTGTTCTAGTCAGCTTGCTGTCCAGCCTATCGAATGCACTGTATCGAAGTAAGTTTCACACTGTGATCTTCACTACGTCTTGCTTGTACTGCATTCTGTAGATAGAAAGCGTCAGCTATGTTAAATACCATTGCGTTCGTCAGTAGGTCACAGCTATGGTCGACGTCCTGAATTTTTAAGTATTCCATTACGCCGCAACTTGCGCCTCCGTCTTAGTATGTGCGCGCTTTTCTCTTGCTGATTGCGTCTTTTTACCTTCTCCTGGCGGGCTTTACCACAAGGGCCGCTGTGTCAACGTCGTAAATACGCTTGCCCTGAGGCCTCGCTCTTTCATCCGTTGTTATGATGGAGCAAACAGCTTGATAGTACCTATTTTTAAAAACTATTATAGAGAATCACTGTTCACTTTACAGTAGTGTTCCGTCATAATAGTGACTCAGACCTGTGTGACTTATAATTTTAATTTCATCGATTGTTTGGCGGCATTTTTTATGTGATACGCTGGTAAACGGGCAGACAGATATCACCTGATAGTAAGGAATCGACGCCGCCAATGGACACCCGTAGCACCAGAGAGGCGTTACAAGTGCGTTACGGGCCTCTTGGGTATTAGGAATTTGAGGATTCAGAGATAGGGAAAATTGGAGAGGAGGGTAATTGGGTCTCCGGTAACACTCAACGAAGAGTACAGAACATATTAGTAAAACTATCTAAGTACCCAATAGTACTTATCTATAACGCTGGTCAGTAGTGGCTAGTTTTCTAAGCTCGGTTTAAACTTTCACGTCTACCTCTCGCAATACATGCCATTTAGCTACTTAGAACCAGTTTTTTTTCAATGTGCCCCATCGGGGCTTTCGTTTGTTCCTTCGTCGTATCATGTTACATTCTGAGCTGCAGAAGTTCCGCTCTGACTAGTATAGATGCCAGAAAGCGACAGACGCTAAGTCAGACATTTGCTTATGGTTACTATTTAGCTCCAAACTTTTATGATGAGATGTTGTTATATCTTTCAATTATTATCTTTAAATTAAATAGTTTACGTTTAGCTATTCTTGACATGGGAGTTTTCAGGTTCGTTTTATAGTGCAGGCAATCATTTCGTTCCATGCATGTCATTTAATTTCATATTGGTGCTTCATGTGGGAGGAACAATGACCTTAGGGCGTTCGAGCATGGGGGGGCGACTCCGCACTAGGATTGGCGCAGCAACGCGTCAGCAGCAGAGCCGATTGCTTCTAATTTAATTAGGTTGCAAGTGGAACGCGCCAAGCTCGCACTGACTGACCGCTTTACACACTCTCACTCAACTTGTGGTTTTACATAACTAGGTACACAAGAATATTGACTTCCACGATCAAATATTGGAAAAGTCTTAGAAAGAGAGAATATGAAGAATATGTATCTAGCTCCGCACCTACTTTTCCGTACACTAAACTTGTGTGTTCTATGTTCATAACACCCGAGTCCTTATTTCGTTAATATTAAAAACAGTTTAACATGTCATTAAAAGAAATATTTCCTGTCTTAAAAAGGTTTTGAAGTATGTTCTAACGTAAGAAATACCCAAATTATACTTGCATTAACATTGAATTGGTACTATTGACTTGCAAAACTGATATAGTAAACAATAGCTGGTAATGGCATCTCTGCTTTGTCTGATATTCAATGGTGCAACCGTAGCATTGTTTCAGATTATCTTGTAAATCGGTTTACCTTTTCGAGTGTTATGAAATTACAATTAAGTACCAGCAGTTGGTCACTTGTAACATTGAATTCAAATATTTGTTGAATAACTTTCGTTTTTCCGTATCCGTTGTAAAAGATAAGTAGGACTTTGACTGATACAATCTGGCCTACATGACATTTTTCGTGTCAGTTTCGCTTTGTTATTACAGAGCCTGCGTGAGGCGAATCGGTTCCCTTTTCAAAGCACACTCGGTGCCAGGCTCCAACGACCCCATGTACGTACCGCTGGTCGATATGCTATATAGTATGTCAACTGGATTTGTGTACCGGAACAGACAATCTGTTTCGCGTCAACTAGTTATCGTGACGTTTGCTAAACTTCGATGTCATTCAATCGTATGCTTGGCAATCCCGTTTTCGTTGAGAGTGAACGCGTCGTCCGGTCACGGTCATTTGTCGGAGCACGAATGCTGATGAAGTTCGTAGTCGCGTCACACTTTTCTTTCTCCTCGTCGCCGGTTGGTGTGAACGTGGCACTAAGACCATTGCTGATGACCCATCCTCTCTCTTGTCGTGCTCTCCATAATATTGCCCTACTATCACTTTGTCAATGAAACGTGAACCTTCAAAACTTGATCATATGTCTATTTGGTCACAAATAATAAGATTTAAAGAAAATTTGGTTAAATGCTTTTCATTGTTTGATAACCCACATAGACATAATTTTAACTCTATAAACTATAGAATTAAAGTCACGTAGCGCTGTTAAGGAATGTTCGTGTACGGAGCAGGTGCACATACGCTCGGCGCAATGTCAGGCGAAGTCGATGGCCAATAATATTTCACAATACTATAAATATCATGAACTTTATTAGGTACTTATTAATGTCTTCAATAACATTCTTCGGCATTTAATATAGCATTTTTTAATTTTGATACCGAGTAACTTTTGAGCGCAAAAGAATATGTAACATTTATAACATTAAACCCTTGCCTTGTCTAGAAGGTCGGTCTTCAGGGTAGAGCTTAGCGGCTTTACTCGCCGGTACTTGACGAGTCTCGCGTGCCTTGAATGTGAGTCATACTAATGCCTTAGCTTGGCGCTTTCGCATTCCGTTTATTAAATACAATAACATGCAGTCGTAATTCTAGTGTTTTCGTAGACGAAGCGGCGTTTGATGACGTTTTACACTCAAATTATTGAAGCTTGAGTTGTAATGAAAATTTTGATTATGATTTTAATAAGTTTTTAAGAGCTTTACTGCTGCTTTTGTTAATATAGAACTCATAGAAAAAAAAATTAATTCAAAGAGTTTTAAATATAAAACGTTAGGAAATCTCGTTTCTCTTCGGACTACCAGTTCAAAAAGTAATTTTTAGCTAATGCTTGTTAGTAGCCTAAATCTATGCAATTTATTATTTGATGTGATCGCTTTGATTGACATTGAATTTACTGATCATATCTATCATTAAAAATAGTTATTATGAGATTATTAATATAATACAACTTAAAATATAAATAATTTAATAATTTTATAATATATTTAAAATGATAGCAGCAATTTTACAAACAACCTATGCATAAATATCTGGACTAGCAGGTTGACATTAGTCTTATTTGATCTAAAAACTCGTTGTCCATTTGCAACGAGGGCAGCGATGATACAAAAGCCGGTTTTGAAATGTTTTGCCTCACTCAAGATAAAGGAGAGACGAGTGACGTTTCTGGGCATACCGAAGCGAGCAAATGCAACTTTATGAATTGTGAAGACTTAAATCGCCGTCAATTAGTATCGTTGCGTGACAGACTAACAGTACCTTCGCATTACATAACAGACATGGGAGCATTCACATAAGGGGCCAAGTTCTCAGACTTGCCGCGTACAACGTCGCGATCATCAACGACTCGCGAACACTCATGTTTCACGATTCCCGTAATCGGAGTCACTGTGTGCACGCAATTACACAGATAGCGCATCCTCATTTTGTGAAATTGTCTTTAGCGCTAGAGAACACATCTCTTATAATAATGATTGTTTTGAATCCACACTATTCTAGATGGTGACATTGGTTGATGAAGCTCGAACTAGAATTGACGTTTTGTTTGCAACAAAATATTAGTTTTTATCATCAAAGCATAGTATAAAACAAAGTCGCTTTCGCTGTATGTCCGTATGTATGCTTAGATCTTTAAAACTACGCAACGGATTTTGATGCGGTTTTTTTTAATAGATAGAGTGATTCTTAAGGAAGGTTTGTATGTATAATACATGCATATTGCACCCGTGCGAAGCCGGGGCGGGTCGCTAGTATTGTATATAGAGAAGCATTACAGTAAAGTAGGTTTTTTAGCTACCCAAAATGACTGTGATTATGATCCAAATCTAAAATAAAAATAAGTATATATTTAAAAAAAAAAAACGCTGCTCATAGTCACTATTCTACGCGAACGAAGTCGCGGGCATAGCTAGTAATAATATAATTTTTAGTTGAACTTTGAAAGTATACTAAACAAAAATACCCACTAAACACTTGTTTACCGTTAAGGCTCGTCAAGTACCTACACAACGGTGCTCAACAAATGTGGTGTCGCGTCGCGGATAGGTCCACTTGTTCCGCCCCTATGCACTTGCCGCGGGGGTCGATATGCTCATGGTTTTTGCACCCGCTATATTATTATTTTAACTCGACGCGTTCCCACGCTGCACTTAAACAGAATTAATCTGTTCAATGAAAACTAGAATGTTTATGTTTACTCATAAATTACGTTAGTGTGTTGCGTTCTTGCAGATTCTCAACCACATTGTTATATTATGTTGTTAACTTCCTGGAATACCGTTCATGTTCTTAAAATTATTAATGGTTTTAGGTTTAAGGCGTAATAATGAATACTCACACTCATATAATATTATTATTTCGTTGCTACATTTTTATCAACCCCTAACCCAAATATACAAGTACTTGTCTTTGATTGTATAGGTACAGTCATAATGGCATGGTAACGATGTCGTATGACGTACTATCCGGCTGATCACCTCCTGGTGAGCCCAGGAAGAGGCAAGGTCGGCGTTCAAGCGTGAAGTTCCGGCACCATAGACGCTACTTCGTGTTTGTATAGCAAATTCATACCAACCTAACAATAATACTACATACATAGATGACATTCTGTTGTTTGGTAATTTTGGAGATATTTCTTTTACATCTACCTATTTTGATGATGGTTCTGTGGCAGAACATACATAGTTTGTTCCTGAAGTAACAGTTATCCATGCGTGTTTATTTTTTCTTAATCAACAATTACTGTTTTGAATGGGTTACAGTGCCTCGCTCTGACCAAGTGTTGGCTCGTACGCTGTGTTCGTCTAAAGCGGAAGCGAGCTGAACCATAACAACGTTGACGGCTGTTTCTGTTTCTGACAGTTAACACTAATAAACTGGTTCAGATGAAAACTGAGATGAAATAGGAACATGTTTCTCTGTAATTCTAAACTTAAGCCAACACCGGTTGTTGCTGCTTACTTGCATAGGTACTGCCCTAGGGCTGCCGAAACCATTTTTTGAAAAATAAATTCCTTGCCCTCATACTGAAAGGTTGTTTTGTTATTGTTGTTAATTTTGTTCGTAGTTTTGAAGAAAGATGATGCAAATCGATAATTATGTTTTATTAATTTTCGGTTGAATTTAGTTCGTTCAATTTAGTTAATCACTTGAATAAAATTTTTGCTGTTGTTATACATATTATGTATAAGTATACTTCAGAAAATGTAATGGAACGGTTTAGACGTTTGACCCCCCAGATGTATGAACCTAGATTGTTTGTATAAAATCACACGTTTGCTTACCTTTTTAGGAGAGAAAAATTTACGAGCATTGGTGGTCGATCGTTTCATGACCGTCGGGGCCATATGTTTACGATATAAATACCTACAGTGATGCGTGCGTGTACCGGCACATGATGAATGCCAGAAACCGCCCACACCGATTACATTTTTCATTGAAACTAAAATATAAACGCATAAGACTTTGGCGAGACACAAATGCAATTAAATCTTATCGCTAATTAATACGATATCTTTTCGTAATAGAAAGTTACCTGACAACCTTAGCCGCTTGACCTAGATTCAAGATCACCATTCAATGGTTACCATAGTCACTGTGTTTGTTTGATTCAATAATGTTTACTACACATAAACGAAATACGTTAGTGAGCCAGTCGGTAGATCGGCACGCATTGTGTACGTAAGATAGTTACATTAACGTTACATCAATCAGACCGTCTGAAAAGAGCTTGATCGGAACTGCGCTATTAACCAAATCACCCGAATCATTGTACTTCTCATAGAGCGCGTCGCTTAACTCGTCAAAAACTGACGTTACGTTTTTGTATAGGAATCTTTAACGAGTGTTCTATATCTTTAGGTGCCATATTTATTTAACAAATTATCACTATTGATAAGGACGATTTGTTTAGGTGTGGTTCACCGCTAATTGTTGACATTTATATATATTTGTGGTGACAAATAAATGATCCGTAAAACTATACGTATTTTATTGAATAAATTCATTCATGTTTGGCACTTTGCGATTATTTTGGAACCGTTACTTACGTGGATAACAGAAAATGTGATCTACTGTGACCTGTGATAAACTTCGAGTACGGTAATTAAAAGTTACGATGACATTAGGTCACAAAATGAGAATCGTCCGATACTGATGACTTTATTATTTATGTCGCTCTAATTAATTAGGCGTTGATAGATATATATATATTCATGAAAATTACTAGAGATATTTATTAAAACATTTAAAATCCTCACTACAACTACCGCTAGACTTGTAATTGTAGAATTATATTTCCAATATTTATTTATGTTTTATGTTGTAAGTTAGGTCTTTTAGACTTTACGAGTTAATATTAAAAATATAATTAGATAAATACCAATGTCCAATGATATTGTTTGATGAGAATAATATTCCAAATATTTTGTTAAAAAAAACATATCTACTGTCAATTGGAAATGTATACCTACTAGCAACATAGCAAATGCTAATCTTTGTACTTAGATTTATTGTACAATAATAATGCTAGTCGTGTGATATTCCAGGCTGACTGATGCGGTGACACTGTGACACAATGGATGCGGCGGACAAGCGAATGCTGGAGCGGGAGGCGCTCCGCAACATGATCCAGCAGTGGAACGCTAATCGCCTTGATCTGTTCGCGCTCAGTGAGCCCAATGAGGTAACATTATATTATATACCTTATCACTTCCTGCATGAGGTATAATTTCCTATTTTGCGATTTATATGACCTTACGACATATTTAAATTAAACGACTCTCTATTTAAACAATAATGTCTACGTTTTTAAATTGCCAATAATATTTAACGATCATTTTATGTCTGGCTGCCAGTTTCAATAATACGACTAGTGACCATCGCTAGCATTGGTACAGAGATATAATCATCACAGATATTATCATCACATATTGAGATTTTTTGGTGAAGTCTTTTGAGTCTGTATGACTGCTGCTTGATATAATATTCGTATAAAAAGTTACACATTATTTTTTTTTTTTTTTATTTATTTATCAAGGAGTTGTCCTTGATAAATAAATAACAGCAGTATATTAAATATAACACGGGTGAGTAAAATAATAGATTTAACAAATACACTCCTCACGACGTTGCCACGGATTACCATAAATCTACTTAGCAAACACAATGGGGCAAACTTGAAGCTACAAACTATACAAACATAGGATACATATAAATTACAGAATTACTTTTTACCTGTACCCACCAATATATTTTTTTTTTTTTGTGCACTATATGAATGTGAAACACAAATAACATGTAAAAAAAATTAAAATTAAAAAGTCTGGACTCTATTAATACTATTAATATATTAGTTTTATAGTGGTTGTTCTTTTAAAATGTTAATGATTCGTTGTCGAAAAGTGTTCTTGCTTAGAAATAAAATATCAATTGATGCAAACCTTTTATTATAAGTGTCAACCAATCGATGCATGGGTGAGCGTGCGCCTGAATTGGTATGACGGAGATTAGTTGCAAACATGTTCCGTGAACGCACCTCTCTGCTGTGTACTGAGCGAGGGACCAGGTAGCACAAACCATTCACAAGATCAGAACAGTCAAAGTTGTTGCGGCATATACTGAAGAGGGTCATCATTTCAAGGAGTGTGCGTCTAGATTGCAGGGACAGGATATTATATTTTTCAAGCAATAATTGGTAGGAAAGTCTTTTACGGAAACATCTGTAGTGCATCGCACGGAGGTATTTACGCTGGACTAGTTCCAGTATTTCTACGTATTTTTTGTAGAAAGGATTCCAAATAGGCACTGCGTACTCTAGTTGTGGCCGGATAATTGACTTATACAGATATAAATAAGTGGAAGGGCGGTGGAATTCTCTAGATGCTCGCATTACAAAACCGAACATTTGGTAGGCTTTATTGATTATTTTATTCACGTGCGCATCGAGATGAAGCTTGGAGTCTAACTGGACTCCAAGATCGCGTAGACAGGTAACTTTTCCTAATTCAGTGTTGCCAAAATGATAATTAAATTTGGTTACTAGTTTCTTTTTTGTAAACGTAATACTATGACATTTGGAAAAACTAAGCTGAAGTTTGTTGCAAGAGCAGTATTCTAAGAAACGATCAAGGTCCATCTGAAAATCAATACAGTCAGATTGATTGGTAATATTTTTATAAATCTTTAAATCGTCTGCGTAAAGGAGAAATTTAGAATTCTTAAAACAGGAATTAATGTCATTAATAAATATAATGAATAACAATGGTCCAAGAATGGATCCCTGTGGGACTCCCGATGTCACCTGAATAAGACTGGACTCATAGCCATTTATTACCACTTTTTGAGTCCTATTGGTGACATAAGAAGCAAACCAACGCAGCAGGTTTCCTCTAATGCCATTAAAAGCAATCTTGTCAAGTAATAACCTGTGGTCAACTTTGTCAAAGGCCTTCTGGAAATCAGTATATACCGCATCAACCTGCTGCCTATTATCAAGGCTGTTAAACAAATGTGACGTAAAAGTGAGGAGGTTACTCACGCAGGACCTATCCCTTACAAACCCATGCTGTTCTTTTAATATCACATGGCGCAAGACGGGGTAGATATCGTTATGAACCAGTCTCTCGAAAAGTTTTGACAGTGCCGACAACAGAGAAATCGGCCGATAAGTAGACACGTCATCTTTTGAGCCGGACTTGTGGATCGGGATAATATTAGCACATTTCCAGATCTGTGGGAAGGTACCACTAGAGACACATTTATTAAATAATAAGTGTAGTGGAACGCATACTGTATCATAGGTATTTTTCAAGAAAACCGCGGGAATACCGTCAGGGCCAGGTCCTTTGGATGCATCTAATGATTTAAGTTCACTTTGAATCTTGTCTACAGAAAATTGTAAACTGCAGATATTAATATCATTATCGGAAGTAGCGGGTGGTGGTTTCCATGAATTATGGTTGAATGTAGAGGGTTCATATACTGAATGGAAGAAATCAGAGAATAAATTACAAATCGTAGTGGGATCATTCGAAGATTGTTGTTGGTAGTATACTATGGGAGGAATCTTATTGCTGGATTTACGGCTAGACACAAATGACCAAAATGTCTTGAGATTGGTAGACACGCTATCCTCTACCGTATTTATATATTTCTTATAGCAAGAGGCGACATCTTTTTTTAATTTTGCTCTATACATAGAAAATAATTCATAGTCGTTAATATTTTTGTATTTTTTCCATCTTGTCCATGCGTGGGATTTTTGTCTCAGTAAATGCATTAAAGATTTAGTGAACCAGTTCGGAAAGTTATAGTTTTTAGATTTGTGTATGGGGGTATGCAACTTTATATTTCATACATTTTTTCGTAGAATATAGATACGGCTTCCTCGGGGGGTAATTCTTCTAGGAGACCACGCCAGTCAACGCCTTTAATTTTGGAATTAATTTCAGGATAATTAGACTTATGATAATTAATTAGTAAGTAAGTCATCTCTTTTACGACAGTTATAAAGCGGTCACGGACACGATTGGATACACATTAGTAATCGAATTTGTGACGACATTCAAAAGACGATTGATCCCCGCTAATCCCGGAAATAATCTCTTCCGGAATTAGTATACCACTTGACCTACCTGTGCACAAACTATTATTTTATTTGTACTATTAATACTATTATGTAACCCATTTATATTATGTATTGATTTTACAAGTTTTTATTGACTAAAATAATACAAAACAGACATTCCAGGATTTCTTTGAATTGCCAACTACACGTTGCGTTACTAATAATATTACATTTAATTTCATTTTCTTTAGGTAGAGACATAGAGTACCTATAAAAAGTTTGTAGATAAGACATTGCATAATCTTATTAATCTTGAACTCTAATAATACGACTAAAATAAACTCGAAGAATACTGGATCCGTCTTTACCTGTAAGCAGATCTAATCCCTCTTTAATCCAACTTACTAGATTACAAATACTGTACAAAGTAAAGGCAACAGAGCTAAACCAACGCCTTTGTTTCAAACATTGTAAAGCGTGTCATGCAAATATGTTTGATAAATAAATATTTTGCAAGATAATACAACCGATGTGTAATGTGTTATCAGCATAAAAACCAAATGAGATAATTTATTTATTTTGCTGAATTTAAGAATGTATTATTTATTCATGGTATGTGATATTGTTCTTTTCAGAATCTGGAGTTTCACGGTGTGATGCGATTCTATTTCCAAGATTCAGGTCAGAAGATAGCAACGAAATGTATTCGTGTCGCCTCCGACGCTACTGTGAGCGATGTCATAGGTGAGACCTGACTGCCTATTTGAGTTGTAATGCGACTTTAACGACGTAAAGATGTTTTCACCGTACCACAGCCACTAACGTAGCTACTAGCAATTCCCTTAACGGTGATAAAGTCCGACTTTTCTTTGAAATTATGCTCTGACTACAAATTCACGTACGTAATTGTACTGAAGAAAGTTTCTATTGTTTGAACTTTTTAATTTGGAAACTTTGTTATTTAACTGAGGGGTTGAAAATGTTGAAATATAATATTTCTGTAGAGACTGCGAAATAATTTATTCGTTACGATAACAAAGTCGTAGAATGTTTCCATTTTTGTTTGAAAGTCATAATTTCTATAAAGTTTCATCGTTTGTTTTGAGCGTAACTAATTTAAAATTAATCTACCGCTTCTCCATGTGTTAGTAAAGTCAGCAATCAACGATGGTAAAATTAATTGTTATCTTTCAAACTTTTATAATTATATTTATTTCTATTCTTAATGGAAGTCTACATAAATGCGGGACGTGACGTTTCGCTTTTGGAAACGGGATAGTAAACCGTTCCCCTGTAGTCTCATCAAGAAGTGGCAAAGTGCTATTAAGTTGGACCTAATAGAATAAGCCGCAGAAGGCAGTATATTCAGGATAATTATGATGGAGTGGTGCAGCCAACTAGTCACCCCTTTACATACCGACATACTTGATAATTAACGAGTCTGCACAACCGGATAACGGAGTTGATAACTTGCTATTACAAAATATAAACAACTTGTATGTTACTAACCTACATCTGTGGAATGTAAATTTCCGCACGTACAGTCTTATAATACATTTCTTAGAGATGATTTACTTAGTAAGCTCGAATCTGTTTAGGTATTATCTAATAGTTTACATATAGGAACAATCTAGTTTACCCAAATGTTGCTGGTGCCTATGTTTTATCTCATCTCAATTGCTATAAACTTTACCTGAATAACTCGGTTTGCTATGCTGATGTTTGTCCCTATAAATAGAATACATAGTATTGCAAATACAAGGCTAACAGTACAACTGTGTTCAATGAAATGCCGCACTTGACAGACTTCCTCGAGATTACGCATTGATCCACATAGTATGTAAATGTAATTTAAACTTTCAAACACCAAGCGGTCACCGGTGACCGCAACCTATTATTCTATAATTGTGTCTACAAAACCGGTACTCGACGAGTTAAACATAATTATTGTTGTTTGGCAGAGACTTTAATCGAGAAGTTCCGTCCGGACATGCGCATGTTGTCGCTGGGCTCGTACTCTCTATGGGAGACGCACGGGCCGGACGACGAGCGCAAACTGGAGCCGCACGAGAAGCCCTTGTTGGTGCAGCTCAATTGGCATGCCGACGACAGGGAGGGGCGGTTCCTACTTAAGTGCCTTAGCAACAACGAGGTAAGCTCATTCTTGTATTTTCAATTATAAAATTTATTTTATACCTCGACGTTGGCAAGAATAGCACTCAGCCCTCCTGATGGTAAGCGGTTACCGTGGCCTATGAACGTTTGCAACACTGAGGACATTACATGGGCCTTACGTCTTGCCGACCCTTATAAAATCTATTTATTACTTTCATGAAGAACCCCATGTTGTAGCCTACTAGGAAAACCTCAACAGGGAGTTCATTCCACATTTAGAGGATAATAATATTATAATCTATCATCCCTGAAACAATTAATAAAAAACATGTTCACAAAAGTTTCTCAAATAGCGCAGGCACTGGTATATGTCTGCCCATGTCCAGTAAACACTCTACAACACAATAAGATACATATTAGGTATTTTATTTGACAATTTTAGACAATGATATACATTTTACAATTGCATTTTCCTTTCAGGTCCCGTTGTCGGCTATGAACGACAAAGGAGACCAAAACTTCAAACGGAAACTATCAAAACGAGAGAAGAAAGAACTGAAGAAAAAAGAAAAACTATCGAGACTTAAATCCGACACGAACGATGAAAACAGACCAGTCGCTGAGAAACTTTATACAGGTGACCACCGTGACTATTTTATAATAGATTGCTTACTTATTATTACGGAAAGAAAAAACATTTACATCAATGAAGTGATACCTAAACGAAATATTATTTATTTATGTGTATTTAAATGGATTCTTAATACGGAATATACCTACATATTAGTTACAGTTTAGAGTATGACAAAGTTATATATATAAATATGTATAACAAAAAAAATATAGATTTGTTCTAACATAGTTATACAACTATGATGATAAAAAACAATATAGCTATTCTTTATTATCCATCTGTAAAACTCAAAGATGTATAAGCAATAAGTCCTAAAGTCTTCAAAATATAGCACAATGAATGAAGGGTTACACTTATACATTTCGGTCATAACTTCCTCATTACAGTGTAAATGCAATAACGAATACCTAAATTAATATTCAGATTATATTAAGAATTTCTCAAGATTATGATTCATATGTTTACAATGCACGAGGGAAAATTTTCTTGTTTCTTTTGTCCTGCAAGGACAATAAGCTGGTGACACATTCTGTTATACAAAGGCATATACTTAGTTGGGACTCGAAGTAACCTGGATGCATGATAAGCATAGTAAATATTTATATTCATTTGTGTCTTTTTGCTTAAAAACGTAAAATACTAAATAACAAACTTGTTATGACGTGATTCATGTAATATTGATGAAAGAATTCAATGTTTTGGACTGAAAACTAAACTTGGGGTGTTACAGCTTACATCAACATTTGTTTCGGGATTTGAC